CTCGTGAGGAGCCGCCGCGGCCGGAGCGGCCCCGACGGGCGGCGGGACCCGCGGAGCCCCCGGCCGCTCCTGCGGACCGGGGAGCCGGTCCCGCACAGCGGAAGCGCCCGCAAAAACCGCGCACCCAGCACTTTGTTTTTTGCCTTTTCTGCAAAATCCAACTTCCGAAGTTTTTTTAATGCCTACATATATATATTTTTTCCCTTAAGCCTGCATTTTTTGTGCGTGTGTCAGGCACTTGCACAACGGGAGCCCGAGGACTCCGCGGAGGGGCTGGGGACACCTCGGCCCTTGGTCTCCGCAGGGGTTCGCTCCAAAGGGGCCCCGAAGCGGGAGGACGGCGGGGACGGGGGCTCTGCGAGCGGGGCAGGATGTGTGCGCACAGCAGACAGATATATATAATATATATAAGTTTTTTTCCTCAGGAGAGGTTTCTAGGTCCCTTGGCGTTACTGGGGCAGCGTGGGTGGGAATGTTCCCTTCCTCCGTGACCTCCAGTTTTCCTTCATGGCATGTGGAGGTTGTGCTAGAAAGTTGCCTCCCAAGGGTTTGAGAACCTTAAAGAAACTCTCTCTCTATGTATACATATATACATATATTTGCTGTTAGATGTAAGGAGCAGTCCTCAGTAGCTTAACTAAGCTTGACCAACTGCTGAAATGCTCCTTTTCTTCTGTGTGGCTCTGCCTTTTTCCCTTGCTCTTTGGCCTTGCTTTGCTGGTTACTTTTTACCAGAGCGGGTTTGAGTTTAGCCTTTCCTCCATCCTCTTTTGCTTTATTTTTTCTTTCCTCCCCACCTCTTCTYCTCATGGAAGCTGGAAATGCTGAGACAGGAGCTTCTCCTCCACCAAGCGGGAGCGCTTCTCCTCCACCAACCCTGGAGCACCTCTGCTTTGTGGCATCCCGTAGCCGAGAACCTGTGGCGAGGATGGATCGGGCTCCTTCAGCCCTCTCATTCCTACCTCTGCTTTAACTCCTCTCCTTGGGGTCGTTCTGCTGCTTAATCCCTCCCTTTCCTTAGTGTTTGGACCCTTTGGGCTCCTCCTCGTCCCGTACGTGAGGTCGCTGCTCGGGTAAATGATGCACTTGGCCAGTCCCGGGCGTTCCCAACCCACTGGGGTGTCTGTTTAAGCTGGGGTTTGCGTCGCTCCCTCCGTTTGCACGTGCCGCTTTTCCCATTCAGATTCCCTATGTTGTTTCCCCACAGCCAGGCCTGCTTTGAGGAGGACGGCCGGGAGCCCCCGGCCTGGAAGGGCCCCATGCCGTCCCAGGGCAGCGAGGAGGAGCCGGAGCGTGCGGAGCCGCGTGGCGACGAGAGCCAGCGCACGGAGCAGCTCAACGAGTCCCGGCTGCGCAGCTCCTCCGTGGAGATCCGCGAAAAGGGCTCCGAGTTCCTCAAGGAAGAGCTGCACAGAGCGCAGAAGGTGGAGCTGGGGTTTGCGAGGGTGGTGGGGTGGGCAGACGCCTGGGGCCTGCAGGGCCCTCCTCACCCATCCCTGCTCTTGGCAGGAGCTGAAGCTGAAGGACAAGGAGTGCGAGAGACTGTCCAAAGTCAGAGAGCAGCTGGAGCAGGAGCTGGAGGAGTTAACGGCCAGTCTGTTCGAGGTACCGCCCTCTTTCTCTTCCCATCACTTCTTAATCCGAGCTCCCCTCCATCCCTCCAAGACGTGCTTGGCCTGCGCTCCGATCCCCTCCCACCGCCTGCTCCTTGCCCCCCTTCCTTCCCGCTGGGAGCAGCGCGGCGCTGGTGGGGGACGCGGCGCCCACGGGGGACGCGGGGAGCGCTGACCCTCTCTCCGGCGCAGGAGGCGCACAAGATGGTGCGAGAAGCCAACACGAAGCAGGCGGCGGCCGAGAAGCAGCTGCGGGAGGCGCGGGGCAAGGTGAGAGCCGCGTTCTGCTTCTCCGTCCGCTGCTCATCGGGGAGCCCTGGCAAAGTGACCTGCTGCTGTTTAACGGCCACCGCTCTGCGGGTGCGGGGAGTAGGGCGCYGGGATGGGGAATTTCTTCACTAAGCTGCATCCCAGGGCTGCTGAACTGGTTCTTTCTGGAGGACAAAGAGAAATTGCTTCGGGGCTGTTGGATCCCTGAGGCAAGAGGTGCTTGGACTGTAGAGGAGGTGAGGGAAAGGTGTCCAACTGCTGTCCTTCCTCCAGCTAAGGCTCCGAGAGATGGAGGGCGTTTGGGAGAACGGGGAGGAGGCTTCATGACTGACTCTGTGGTTCGTGAGTTTGGTGTCTGGCTGAGCAGATACAAAACTGCAGACTCTGCTACAGGCTCTGTCCCTGTCTCCTCAGATCGACATGCTGCAGGCCGAGGTGACGGCCTTGAAGACCCTGGTGATCACGTCGACGCCTTCATCCCCCAACTGGGAGCTGCACCCGCAGCTGCAGAGTCCCACCAAGGCCGTGTTCAGGAAGGGGCACGGCCGCAACAAGAGCACCAGCAGCGCGGGGGTCACAGCCGCCGGCCAGAGCGCGGCCCCGGCGCCCGCCAGCCACGAGTGCAGGGAGGTGGGTGAGGACCGGGGGCTCCCACGGCCTCGGAGCCGCTGAGGTCGCTCCGCTCCCGGCACYGGGGCGGCCGAGGGGCTCTCTGGGAGGCTCTGTGGTTTCAGCGCTGGGAGAAATGGTGCCAGCAGCAGCACGGGATGTTTGCTGGATTGTGCTGAGCCAGGTCCTGGCGGGGGCTGCTTCTTGGAGACTTCCCCTTCTGGGAACGGCACTTGAGGCTGTGTTGGGACAAGAGGAAGCAGCAGGTGGATCCGCAAAGGGCACGAACAGGAGCGGGCAGTGAGTGCGTCGGAAGCTGCTGAGGAGGAGGAGGAGGAGGCCGGTTTCGTGCTGCCTCCCAGCTCTTGAACCTGCTCTGGCCTGACGGCCTTTGGCTCCCTCTTCCCAGCGTGGCCGAATGGTTGAAGGCCAGTGGGGCAGTAGGGCTCCTCCGTGAGACCAGACAGACCATCTGGCCTGTCCCTGTACGTTCTGGGGCACGTTGCTGCCCTTCCCCTTCCTGCAGGGCCCACACGTGTCTCTTTGCCAATCACACGTTACTGGAGCTAGTTGTCCTGTCCTGAGGCAGCAGGAGCACCAAGAGGCTACATCAGAAAGAAAACAGAGGGGAAAATCAGCCTGGCAGCTGCACAGCCTGAGTCTGCTGGGCTCCCTTGGTCCAGCGGGGAAGAGCCCAGATGGGCTGGGAGCAGGAACCCAGTATGCAGCCAAAAGCGGCTTGTGGGACCCGGAGAAGTTCGTAGYGTGCAGGTCCTGCGACCTCTTCACTGCTAACGAGTGCTTTTGTCAGGACAGAGGGGCTTCAGATTTGAGACCCCTATGTTATACACATGTACATATACACATATACAACATAGTCCTGTGTTAGGTTGTTCTAAGCACGAGTGTTTTAACCTTGTGTCTGAAATTCCTTGCCGGCTTGTGTGAGCGGTGATTAAAGGGAGCCTGGCATCTGCAGCGTGAGTGCTCAGTGCTTTGTGGGAAAACACACGCCTTAAGCTGAGCCTAAAAATGAGAGAACCTGTTYGTTCCCTTCCCCAGAGCTGAGGTCYACCTTGTTGGTCCCGTTACCCTCTCTCCATCTGCCTCAGTGCCCTCCTTGCTGGGTCCCGCGTCCTCCCCTCGCGGGCTGCCCCCAGCCTGGCCGTTCTGCCTTCCTTTTGTGTTAACCTTCATTTTCTGGTTGGTTTTGTTCTCCGTTTGCCCCTTAAGTTGTTTTTCCATCTCGTGGCTCTGCAGCTGGCACCAGGTGGGCAGTCCKCATGGCACAGAGCGAGCGCTCTGGCACTCGGGCCTTTCTCAGCTTCCTCGCTTGTTCTCTGTGTTGCTCAGCCGTTCTTTTTCCCTACTTTTGGCAGCTTTAATGGCATTTGCAGGTAGGTGGTGGGGCTGAAATTCCCAGGAATGCAGGATGGAGGGAGCAGCCTTCCTGCTGGCTCGGGAGAGCTGCTCCAAGTCACTTGCTGTGGAGCCCCTCCATAAAGGGAACGGGTTGGCCTTGGGGTCTGGATCGAGCGCTGCTCTTTGGACCTGCCTTCCTGTGCTCTGCCAGCACYGTGGCTGCCCGGTGTTCCCGGTGCCCCCGAGCATCCCCAAACACCCAAGTCCTGCACATGGAGAGGCCCTTGAAGGGCTGACGGTCCATGTTACTTGGGCTCGCTAGTGCAGTCTTCCTGATGACTGTTTGCCATTATTATTATTTTATTTTCTCTCAATTCATGCATTTTGCATAACAATCCCTTGCACTTGAATGTGCTAACGGGTGCCTTCTGACACGGTAGCTCTGCCTCCAGCTGAACTGTCCCTTCTCACCCACTTGCTGCAGGTCGACTCCATTTTATTCGCCGAGTTCCAGGCCTGGAAGGAGTCCCCAACCCTGGACAAATCCTGCTCCTTCTTGGATAGAATTTACCGGGAAGACGTAGGGCCGTGTCTGGACTTCACCAAGCAAGAGGTGAGCGCAGGGAGAGTGAGAGGGAGGCYGTGGGGCTGGGCAGCACCCAGGCTGCCCCCTCTCCGGAGGGAGCCCGGCGCCTCTGCAGCCGCTTCCCTTTGCTGCAGCTCTCGGAGTTGGTGCGAGCGGCCGTGGAGCAGAACACCCTCACCGTGGAGCCCGTCGCTTCTCCGGCGCTGCCTGCGGCGAAGGGGGCTGCAGTGGAGTGTGGTGGGCCCAAGTAAGGAGCCTTTCTGGTGTCCCCCCTTTCCTGTGTCCCCCCTTTCCTGCTCTCTGAGCTGGCCTCTTTGGGTCTCCGCGTGGTGCTTGGGCAGGGCCTAGGGTCAGGTGAGCTGAAAAGCCGCTGGGCTCAGCTGATGGCTTCAGTCCGCAGCGCTTCAGCTTGGCTTAATCCTGCCTCATGTGGAGGGCTTGCTATCTTAGCTTGGCTTATGTGCTGCCTGGTGGTAGCTCGCTGCTGTCTTTGTGCTCCTAAGAGTGTCAGCTTCCCACCCTTCCTAAAGGGTGATCCTATTTCCRCGGGATCCGTGTTCAGGGGCTCTCCTTCCTGCTCCTCGCTCCCAAGCGGAGCATCTTCTGGGCTGAGCTCTTTCTGTAACCAAACCCTGCTCCCGGGCAGGCTCCCACCGCGCTTGTCATGTTCTCCGTGCTTGTGTCAGCGGGAACGACCCATCCCATGTTTATCTGCAGCCGTTTCCTCCTCACTATTTCTTTTGTCTCTCCACAGCGGGTTCCGGTCGCAGATTGTAACGTAAGTGAAGTGCTTGTGTCCTGGTCAGTGAGCAAAGACCTCAGCCCCTTCGACAGGTTACTAACTTGGCGGGGCTCAGCAGCTTTGGGGCTGACCTTGAACTAACCCCAGTTCTCAGGGCTGTTGGCTGAACCAGCCGGCGAGGTGGCAGGCAGCCCGCGTGGGGCAGTACGTGGCCCCAAGGGCGTTGCATTGAGATGCAGAACACAACCATTTTTGTCACCTTTGAGCACACTGTGTGGCAGAATTAACCCCCACTCTTGCACAGGCCTCAGTACAAACTTTTGGGGGTACCTGAGCGCTTTGGATGCTGCTTCTGCCCTTACCCCTTAGCTGATCTTTGCTTGATTGGAAGGGATGGCGAGTGCTGCCGTGTGCTCGGAAAAGCCCCAGAGAGGCAGCAGGTTCAGATGAATTTCAGGGTGCTGCCAGTGACGGGGCCGAATCTGCTCAAGAGCAGGAATTGCCCGTCCCGAGAGCCCATCGGCTGCCCTGGCAGCGCGTTGGGAAGCGGAGGCCCCTGGGCAGGAGTCCCGCAGGATCCTTGCCCGGAGCGGAGGAGACGCAGAGCTCGGGCGAGGCTGATGCAGCGCCTCGCGCTGACGTCTCCCACGTTCTGCGTAGGCTGCCTGCCCTGGGAAGGACATTGCCACGGTTTCCTTGTGCATGGAATAGCGCATGGCAGCAAATACATAGCCTGAGGTCTCCTAAAGCTGCTCTTCCTCAAAGCTGGAGAGGGGCAGAAGGTTTTTCTCAAGCCCTCAGCCCTGTTTTCTCCCTGGAAGCTGCTGACACCGCTCTGCTTCCCGAGCTCCTATTCTCCTCTATCATTGGGGCTTTTCCTGAGCTGGGCGCCGCCGCGTTGCCCTGGGCCCAYGTGGGCTGTGGCTTTCCCGCAGGAAGTGCGCGCTGAGCGGCCTCCCCAGGACCTGCAGGCACCGCATCACGCTGGGGGACTCCGGGAACTACTACTACATCTCGCCGTCCTGCCGGGCCAGGGTGAGTCTTTTGCTTTTGCAGGCTGCTGCGGTGCCTGAGTCCCTTCCAGATCCCAAGGAGAGCTGGGCTCGTGTCCCGCTCCTCCTGCGTGGTGTGATATCACAGGCTGAGATTGCAGACACCCCAGGTTGTTACTTCTAACCAGCTTTTGCCTTTTCTCTGCCCCTCTGACACCGTGTGGGGCCATTTCCCCGGTGCCTGAGCACCCTGAGGCTGGTCCTGCTGGTCCTCGGTAGGCTGGGCGGTTCCACAGCTGGTTTCTCCCTTCTCTCCCTCCCGCAGATYACAGCTGTGTGCAACTTCTTCACGTACATTCGCTACATCCAGCAGGGCCTGGTGAGGCAGGACGGTAAGAGGGGGATGGCAAGGGCTGCGTGTGGCAGGGGTTGTCCCCTGCGCTGGGAGCAATGGAAGGGGGGACGAGGGACGGGGTGCCCGTCTGCCTGTATCCTTGGGAGGTCAGCGGGTGGGAGGGAGCAGAGCACCCSCTTCCTTGTTCATCAGCTTGCTGGGAGCTTTGCCCTGGCCTTGGGCTGCTCTGGGGTGGCCCGATGGTCCCTGTGGCACCTCTGCGTCCCCCGGCTGTGTCTCTGACTGCGTGTTTCTCTTTCTTGCTTTGTCCCGCTCCCGTCGCGCCGTGTGGCCTCGCAGTGGAGCTGATGTACTGGGAAGTCATGCGTCTGCGGAGGGAGATGTCGCTCGCCAAGCTGGGGCTCTTTCCCAGCGAGGTGTGAGCCGGGGCTGGCGTGTGGAAGGAAGCTGCTCCGCAGGCACGGCCTCGCTCCCTCCGCCTGGTACGGATCCCGGAGCAAGAAGCATGAGCTCCCGCTGGGCCATCCCACTCCTGCGGCTGGGCCGGTCCCGGCTGCCCCCACAGTGGCTCTGCACGGACTGGCCTCTGTGGAAGCTCCCCTGTGAGCCCATATCCCGTTTTTAAAGTGTTGTTTTTATCCGCCACCCACTTTTGCTGATGGAGCAGCCCGCTTCCAAGTATTCCTTGCTCCTCCTGAGGAGCCTCTGAGGGAAGCTGCCTGCTGGCTGGGGCACAAAGAGGCGCTTGTTCCCACTCTCCGCGTGGGATCCGGCCCCGCTCCTCCTTTGAGGGTTGCCTTGGGCACTGCCCTTCCCACTGACCCCGTGGAAACCGGGGTCCCGGGCCAGGGGCTCTTCTACCTCCACAAGATGCACGTACAAGTTGGGCTCTGTTGAGCCCCAGAGATTTCCTCCSCATCTAACAGCAGGCCTGGAGAGCCACTTTTTGGGGGCAACACAGCCTTTTCCAGGCTGCCATCCAAAGTTGGAGGCCTCTTTGCATGYGTGCATGGGAAGCGCGGCCGCCGGATGCCTTGCGCTGGCAGGGAGGTGCCCAGAGCCTTCAGAAAAGAAGAGACCCTCTCTAGGCGGAGCTCAGCCCCAGGCCTTGCCTCTGCAGGACTGTGAAAGCCCCGAGCATTTGATGGTGGATGGAGCTTCTTCAGTAACTGCGATCGTCTCCTGCCGCTGCCCTGGCGCTCTCGTCTCCTGGGGCGTTTCTGCGCTCAGTCTTTGGGGTGACTCTGCTGCTCTGCTCTGAGCAGGGCTCCCCGAACCAGGTCACTGTCCCCAATGCCACTGGGTCTCATCATCCCCTCGGGGGATGCTGCAGCAGGAGCTTTGTGCCTTAAAACTAAGGGGGCTGCCGAGCGAGGGAGCTGGGGAATGAACGAGGTTTGGTTTGGGAGCTGATGCTGGAGAGCTGCACAGCCGATCCGAGGACATGGCGCTCGTGGGCGTGGGATTTTTTCCCCCCAGAGCAGGGCTGGGCTGCCTGGCGCAGTGCTGCCCCCAGGGAGCCCCTTTCCGAGGCGAGCGGTGGCTCAAAGCACGCGCTGTCCCCCGGGGCCGGGGAGCCCGTGCTGATCCTGCGTGGAAAGCCGGTCCTACTCGGCAAGGGCTGCGCCGTGGTTGCCCTCCAGGATCTGCTTTCACCCCATCCACGGCCGGGTGCCTTCCCGCAGCTGTAAGTGCGTGGGCCTGCTGCTCTGCACCAAAGTCAGGTTTTAAGATGGGGTGTAACAGTGTGGAGAAAGCACCTCTGCTGTGGACTCAGGTCTTGAGCTGGTGGGAACCCTGCACTTTTCTTCTTTTGCTGTTGTTATCTTTGGATTTGTGGCAATTTGACACCAGCTGTTCAGGGGGGAGTGGGGGRGAGAGAGAAATATCCTCCCCCAGCCGCAGGCTTTGGCTCGGGTAGGCGCCACTCGTGGTGGTTTTCCCTTGGATCTGCTCCCGCGGCTCTCTGCATGTCCCCGTGCTCCCGGTGCCACCGGGCTGCCCGTGTAGCCGTGTTACGGGAATCGGGTGCGCTCTCTGGGTCAGAGATATTTTGGTCTGGGACATCCCCCCCACCGTGTCACTTTGTAAAAGCACTTTGGGATGAGAGGAGGTGGAGAAATGCGTCATGAACCAAAGCCTAAAGACCAACGTGTAATGCAAAGGCAGCCTGCTGTTGGCAGGACGGCAGCACCCTGCTCTATTGAAGGAAAATAAATATTTGCTGTTAACCCCCTGAGCCTGCTGGCGTTTCTGGGGTCGGATGGGGGTGAGGTGACATGGGGAAGCCGCTTGGGTAGGGGAGTGGGGCTGGAGCACGGGCCGACCCGAGGGCTTAGGGGGAGTTTGCAGGAGGCCCTGCAGCAGGGGGATCTTCGCTCAATACTTTTTTTGCTCAATAATCTCRATACTTTTCCGAGCCCTCTTCCTGGCTGGATGCAGAAACATGCCGAGGTTTTCCCAGAGGAGATCAGATGAGATTCCTTGGATTGCTCTCCCACCGGGCTGTGCAGGAAACGCTGCTGGGCCTGGTGCCAGCAGCAGCTCCGTGGAGCTGGAGCCGCCCTTGGTCTGCGCACGCAGTCGSTCTCGGGGCCAGGCAGCCACAAGAGGGCACAGATGGATCAGGAAGAGGATCTGGTCCTGTCCCGCCAGCCTGGCCTGCATGGGGAGAGGGAGGCCCGGGGGGAAAAGCAAAGCATGGAATCATCAGGGTTGGAGAAGACCTCCAAGATGAGCGAGCCCAACGGTAAGCCCATCACCACCCTGCCTGCTAAACCATGTTCCCAGTGCATCCTCGTGGATCACCTGCTCCGCTTGGACTGCGGAAGGGCATCCCGTCTGCCGGGCTGTTCCCTACAAGCCTTTGGTAAGTTTATCTCCACAGCCTGCTCTTCTTGGCAGCTGTGAAATCTGCTCGATGGCTTCGCTCTTCTTGGCCTGTTGCTGCATCCATGTGCGTGTCAACGTCAGCCTTTTGGTGGCTCCTGAGAACACCTCGCTGAAGAGTGGGTCTTGTCACGCTTGTTTGTTCACACGTGCATGCTGAACACACGTGTACCTTGTTGATGCTTAGCGTGATGCTGTACCCCAACGGTGAGGAGCTCYGGAGCACCAAGGTAGGTGAATACGTTGACTTTGAAACCGTAGACAACGGGGGAAGGTGTGAATGACGTCTCTCTTGAGCAGGGGGCTCAACAACTGCCAAATAAGCCTTTCCRCAGTCCCAAGTCACAGTGCACCAGCAAGGAACCCTCTGTAGAGCTAGGAGGGGTAAAGCCGGAGAGACCAAGCTCGCAATGCAGGACCTCCAAAGGGAGTTGTGGTGTAATTCTGTAGGGACAGCTATGTTGTGGGACAGGAAGAAGAGCTATCGCGTCTTGTGAGGGATTTGGAGTGGAATCAAGGAGCATGTGGAGGATATGTGTACTTGAGGAAGACCCTGGAGTGAGATAAAAATCAGGGAAGCTCATGCTGGAAAATAGGCCCCCAGAGGCTGCAGGATAAGTTGGGACAGCAGGTGAATGAGGCACCTGTTCCAAGGGTCTCCTGCTGTAGTGCAGAAGGTGACTGGCTCATTGGTGGTGGAACATCTGCCTTCATAGATGTGTTTGCCTTCTTTGAAGGACAGTGGGCAAAACCTTCATAAATTTTCCCTCCCACCAGCCACAAAGAACACTCATCAAGGTTTCATGTTATAGTTGAAATCCCATGTCCATAAACCAGCCTCTTCGTAATTCCTTTGTATTAGCAGGGTGTGTGAGCAGAAMGGGGTCTGGGTGTGAGCTAGACTGCATCTTTGAGCTGCTGGTATCTCTCTTGGCATCTATCTAATCAGGCACACATGACTTGCAGAGAGGGCCTGTTCTCTGCCTGGCCTTCCAGGCGCTACGTTTATGATGGATGAGGCATCCTGCAAATGTCTCCAAATGTGAAAACCTCATTACTTGTGGATTACTCTTTATTATGACGGAACTTTAAGACAGAAGGGAAGGAGGAGAAGACTAAAATAGTACTGAGCTGAGAACAAATCCCTTTGAAGTACCTGCCTCTTCTCATTTGTCTCATTTTCTGTTTTTCCATTATGTTTGTTTTCCTTGTGTTGTCTTCAACGCTTGCGTAGATAGGGCTTTAAGGCATGTTGCATACTTTGATTTAACGTTGCTGTGTTACATCCGGTGCTGCATACAGCGAAGTGCATTAATACGCATGTAAGTGTAGAACCCAGCAGGCTTTAAGGAAAAACCGGGATAATGGGCCTAGGGACTGGCTGCTCACAGGTCTTTCCCAGGACTTCTGGTCTTGTCCTTCACCCGGCCTTCGAGCTTGCTAACGTCCTGCTGAGACCATAAATCAGGCTGTCTTTGCATGGCAGGTCAGGCTGTCCCCAAACGCGCGGAGGAAAATATGTTTCTGGGAATCGATAAACTCAAGATTAGCATTTGCGTGCATTTATTTTGGGGCATGGACAAGGAGAAGGCAGGAGGTAAGCAGATGGCCTCAGAATTCCTCCCAAAAGTCAACTGTTTCAATGCTCCAACACGACCGGTTAACTCTCCCTTATGCTAAGCCTAGTGAAACAGCCCGGACGAGCGCGGAACAGCTAGCGCTGTATAAAAAGCGAGGAAATGCCGCTTATTCGGGAATTTCAGAGAGTGTAGCCCTTATCGGGAAGCACTTGCTCTGCTGGCACGCTCCTGAGGTTCCACGTGGCACCGGCGAGCAGGGGTGGCCAGCCCTGCCAAGGGAACGTGCTCCTCATAGGAGCAATCCCCGTGGTGCCACCGCCGCGGGAAGCCAAGAGGTCACTTCTCCTGTTGACCCTGTCAATATTCCTCTGTTTGTATGAGGGCTATCAGGCTGATAAGTGCCCTCATGCCAACTTTACCCGACCTGTGAAGATGGCCGGACTTTGCGCCGGCCTACGTGAAATGAGCAGCGCGGGCCCCCCGTGGGGTAACTCTCCTGGCTGAGCCGCTCTTTGGATGGTGGTGGGTCCTGCAGCCCCGTGTGCGCCATGTTGTGGTGGTTGGTGCGAGGGAAGGCCTGTGGCCGCGCGCCTGCTCAAAAAGGCCACCAGGTGCTCTGTAGCGAGGTCAAATGGCCCCTTCCCAGCGAGGGCCTCTTTGGGAGGGCCCRTGAAGACGGCTGGGCCTGGGCCATGGGGAATAACCGCAAAAACTTGAGCGCATGGAGCTRGGCTGGGCAACAGGTGAAGCATCTCCTGCTCCTCAGGGAGACCAGCACGTTGGGGTCMAGCAGGATGGACACCTCTGTGTTTACTAACTGTGTGTTCCGCAGGTGCCTGCGTTGATCCCGGGGATCCTGTCACGCAGACAGTGGAACCACATGGAGTTGTGAGGGGAAGTAGGGCGGACCAGAGCTGACGGATGGCTCAGGAGCCATTGCTAGCACCGTGGAGCTCCCCGGAGCAGGGAGACAGCAGGGAAGGAACTGGAGGGGAAAATTTAATTCTTAGCTTTTTTCTGCCCAAAAGGAACTGGGAGCAAGTTTCCATGTAGGAGAAGACAACTGGTTTAGCTGAAGAGAAAAAGCTGATTTATTAGTACTGCTCTGGTTACTTAAAAGTGGCATGAATGACTGGTGCATGGTTATCTGGGGAGGAGGAAAAGGAACAGGCCCCACAGCAGTTCCCGAAAGGACTGTCTTAGGGGAACTGTGAAGAGGAAGCCGCAAGAAGTCCTTGGAAAGCGTTGCAGAGAGAGGCCCTAGCACATCTTGTGCTGCGTGGAGAGCTCTCAATGATATGAATGAGTGACTCACGGGCACGCAGAGCTTCGGGAGCTGCTTAACTGAATGTAAAATATCAGGGACTTCCTAATGTTTCCTGTTTGTGCTTTCGCTTGAGTTCCAGCRCTCTTGGCGTTCCTCTGCAGACAGATAAGCTGTAGTGGTTCAAGGACGGCTTTTTTCCTGTCCTTAAGTATCCTGGCTCATTGTGCTAATTCTGCTTTGCTAATCACCTTAGAATCAACCCGAGATGCCTCCTTCCCTCTGCCGTCCAAGTCAATCATGGCTGAAAGAAACGCTCTCTCTCGCGGTTTGCATCAGCATCGCAGCTGAGGCTGGAGGAGGTGACTTATCTGTTGCCTCTAATGCCCTTCCAGTTTGTCAGGCCACTAACTGAATGCAAGCTGCCAAAAGTGATAAGGAATGAGCTGCCAGTCCAAATTTCGGTCAAGCTGCTGATACTGCAGCGAGGATGGCAAATATTAGTTCATTGGGAACTGGAGAATTGTCTACTGGTCCCATGAGTTGGGTGATAAGAGCAGTGTTGGACAGGTGAGTGGTTGGCAGAGCCTGAAAAGCCTCACAAGTCAATTTGCCTGAAGGGTCGTGGTCTTCTCTGAACACCGACTAAGGGGGACATAAAGACAAAATTATCCCTCCAGACACGACCAGCTAAATATACCCATCTGCCACTAAGATCACCATCTGTGAGTGTTCAGGAGGAGAATAAGGACCTCATGGTCTAACTGCTCATTTAGTTTGTCTTTCAAGTCTACCAGGCTGCTGCATTCCCGTGGGTTTAGTGGTATTTCACTCTTGATTTATAAAGGGATTCCTGGTATACAACTAATTTTAGAAACTTCAGGCCCTGCAACAGGATCCTCAAAATCTGCAGTGACTCTTAAGGATTTGGGAATTGTCCCTCTGGTTCTGAATTAGCACAGTTCTTCAAATATTTTGGCCTGAGCTGCTGCTTGAGTTGCTG